CTACCACCCTCTGGGTGTGGCCCTCCAGCCAGTTGGCGACCCATTTGACTGTGTGGGTGTCTACGCCACAGCCCCCCAGTTTCTTAATGAGAACGGGGTGAGAGACAGTGTCAAAAGCCTTCCGGAAGTCCAGGAAGACTATGTCCACTGCTACCCCTGCATCTAATGATCTGGTGATCTGATCGTAAAAGGCCACCAGGTTGGTCTGACAGGACCTGCCACTGATGAACCCGTGTTGGTTGCCCCTAAGCATGCAGTCCCCTGCTGGCCCCTCCTGGATGTGTGTCAGAATAATTTTCTCGAACAGCTTGCCTAGGATCGAGGTGAGACTAACTGGCCTATAGTTTCCCAGGTCCTCCTTCCTCCCTTTTTTGAAGATGGGAACCACGGCCCTCTTCCAGTCCTCCGGCACCACTCCAGAGCACCACGAGTGCTTGTAACGCCATGCCAGGGGTCCTGCAATGACCTCGGCCAATTCCTTTAGAACTCTAGGGTGGAGATCATCCGGACCGGCTGACATCCAGCCCCTCCAGAAGCTCCCTGAGAGTGGAGGTTTCAGCTTTTGTCTCGGTAGAGAGTGTTTAGTAGGAGTTTTGACTTCTCAGTTGTAGAGGGAATGGCTGTAGATCCCAACCTTGAACACAGCTTGGTTAGAAAGTTTGAGCCAGAGCCCGCCCACCCTCTTGACAGGGAAAGGGAGGATATTCCTTTCCACTGTATTGTGTGTTGGTCCATGAAGGCACAGAGGAAGAGAGCTGGTGAAAGCTGCAAGAAGCAAGACAGGAGCCTCTTGACTCCCCGTGTCTTCCTGAAGACTTTCAGGGTTCAGCTCCCCCAGAGGGTTATAGCAGTGATTGTCAACCAGTGTCGTGGTATCCTGGCATGTTGCAAGATCCTTTTAAGGGTGCCCTGGGACACGGCGCAGTATTAGCACTCTAAGATATGCGAACACCTACACACAATTCACAAGAGAAGCCCAGGGATTTCAGCTAGGAATTCATAGAGTCAAAAGCATTCTGATCTGCTGGGAGCTGTTGGAAGAAATAATTGCTTAATTTGTTTTCTTAGTAAAAAAACGAGTGAAAACTAAGAGCCTGTTGTCCAGGGAATGCCGTCAGTCTAACGAGGAGGCTCTTGAGTTTAAAAAGGTTGAGAACCACTGAGCTACAGGAACAGTCCTGTGAAAAAGCTATTGCTCTAAGAAACAATGCCCTGTGCTGGAAAGCTTGTCTAAGTCTACCCTATCCATGCAGTTGGCCCAATAAAAGTTATCACTCACAAAACCCTGTGTTTCTCACGTAAGGTCTTCACGTAACTTTAGGTAGAACATGGCTAGTTGGCAATTGTTTGGATAAAGCATCTGTGGATCCCTTCAGTTGTTAGGAAGGGCACAAACCTCCTTCAGGTTTTTCTTTGCACGTGTTTTATATGGAAACGCGAGTCTCGTGATGCATGCACTAGGTTAATCTAGCTGTTCCCCTAGCCAGCTTCATCCCTGGGAAGCCATTTGCTCAATGCAAGCTATCACTTCTCACCACTTAGTGGCAAGGCTCCATAATACAGGGGTGTAGGTTGTAGCCATGTTGGTCTAAGGACATAGACAAGGGCCTATAAGGACAAGGGTCTGTAATAGTACCTACTGCTGGCAACCAGGCCTGGAAGGGCTGCTTACCACAGGTAAGTTTCTACACAGTGGGCATGTCTACACAAAAAAGTTTACTGCAGAGCTGCCTAATTAGCTCCACAGTAAATGTCTCCACATCTACACATGCACCCCTACTGGGGCACTGTAAACCAGTAAACATCACCATAGGATAGTGCTTGTCAACAGGCATTATTCGTTGCCCCGCAATGCACGTGTAGACGCTGATGGGGCTGGCTTGGGGGATGAGGACGCTTCAGTGCAGGGGCTGCTTGCCGGCTATCCCTGAACTGGAGCACCTTGTGCCCCAGCCAGCCCCTCCGCAGCACGTGGAGCTGGGTCAGAGCAGCCCCGGGCTGGTAGGCTCATGCCTGGAGCCCCCTGTCGGGCAGGGCTGCTCCAACCTGGCTCAGTGTGCTGCAGTCCCAGGAGCATGTGCATGCATGGTGCGTGGGAGCAATAAACTCTGATACAAACTGCACCAGAGTTTTTGGTCAAAATGTGAAGTAAATGACTCCATAGTAATCACATTGTTTGTCTGCTCCCTTAATACAGATTGCCCACCTTTTGCACATGGATTCATGGCTTAGGTTACCCATGATAGACCAAATGCTTATTGTTAAATGAAAGAGCTGAAAAAGCCCAGGAGAGTCAGGAGCATTCTTCACATTCCAGAAGTTCAGAGGCAAGAGAGAGAGGATCATGCACTCAGCATGCATGATGGATAAGGAGAGAGGCTGGTGGGCAAAGGGAAACAGATGAGCACCCCCAACCACAGCCAGGCTTGTGTGATCTCTGCCCAAAGCAGCAGGAGAAACAGGTGCATCTCATACGCGCTGGGGAGACTGGAGAACAAAGGCAGGAGAAGTGAATACTCAGGAGCTGGGAAAAAAACAAAGCCCAGAGGTCCTGCCCAGCCCAGGGCATTGAGGCAAATTAGTTTCCATGGCTTTGAGCACACAAGGGCACGATATGGCAAGTATTGCCTTTCACTGCCATGATCATGTGCCCTTTTACAGCTGGGGGCAAACTTTGATACAAGTCAGGGCTGAGGCTCAAAAATTAGTTTCCATGGCTTTGAGCACACAAGGGCACGATATGGCAAGTATTGCCTTTCACTGCCATGATCATGTGCCCTTTTACAGCTGGGGGCAAACTTTGATACAAGTCAGGGCTGAGGCTCAATCTCGCTCCCGTGGGTCTGTCGTGAGATGGCTCAGCCACTCGGCCATCAGCCTCCATTGAGCTTGTGGGAGGATGGAAGAGAAACTTTTGGAAGAGAGAAATACCTGTAAAGTGTGGGTTTAGACCCTGGAAAGTGAACTGAGGAAGCCTAAGAGATCCTGAGGAAACCAGGCCTGGGCCAGGTTCTGACTTCAGGGCACTGCTGCTCTAAGAGAAGGGGATTAACATTTGCAGAGGTTGAAGAGCTAAAGGGCAAAGAGAAATTCCTGGAAAAATGAGTGTGTTGCAAGAGTAGGATGTCTCTGAGCCTTTCCAGAAATGAGGAGTCGCCCCGAGACCAAGACGGAGGAAATCAGTATGAAATACAGAAGTTTAAGAGTGATGGCATGTCTGATTCTGCTCCATGTCCTGGAATGGGACTTAAAAAGGGAGCCAAACTATTCCCCTTCTGGAGTAACCTGAAAATCCCCTCCTGCCTCATAGCACATAAGCACTTTCCTGGTGTTAAGCATGGGAGTGAATGCCTAGCACTGCAAGCAGAGCATGTGTTTCAGTGCTTTGCTGGCTCCGGGCAAGCACCTGGCAGCATGGAGACACGGAGACCATGGTGAGCTCTGAGTCCTCCTTCCAAGCCCCTTTCCCGGTGCCTAGGCAATCTCGTGCTTTCATCCAGCCCTCAAAAGCGTAATGTGTGGGTACACCACACTCCGGGCGCAGAGGCTTTTGCATTCAGTCACTGTAACAAACCACGTCCCTTTAGATCCAGTAAATACAACGCGCCTCTCCCAGCACTGCTGTTTGCTCGTCATGAAGAATGCAGCATAGACCCTGTCCTGCTCTCCAGACTGACACCACAGGAGATTGCTCAGACCATCAGATACCAATTACTGGAAACATTCGTAAGTGTAATGACTGTGCGGTACCTGCAAGGGCTGGCTGGGGAGGGGGTGCAGAATGCATCAGTGGAGCATTGAAGATGAGAGCTAAAAGCTTCAGAAATAAGCCCCCAGGCCAATAGCTGGGAGAAGGCACATACACAGCGGTCGTTCAGTGGCAATGTGATCTAATGGGGAGGGTGTGGATCTGGGAGTCAGGAGATCTGGGTTGTCCGCCTTGGTTGCATGCAGCACTTCTCTGAAAAGGGGTGAGTTTCCAACCTTGCAAACAGTGTGTTCAGACCTCGGGGTCCAGGCATCTGCGCTGCAGTCCTGGGACCCACACGGCTCTGCGGTGCCCAGCCTACCCCCACTTGTGTCACCACTGCTTAGCCCCTCCCAAAAGCAGCCCATATTTCTCCAAGCATCTTTCTCTGTTCTCTTCCAGCCAGAAATTACCGTGGAAAACCTGCCCGCGTACTGGAGCCTGGGACGTCCCTTACTCATCCTGTTCAGTGACGGCGATCTTGGCCCATGGGACAGGAATGAAATGCTGCGTTTGGGGAGGGGAAGCGACCGCGAGGCATTCCTCGCCTGCTGGCTTAACCTGTGAGAATGCTAAACCATGTCAGCTTCTCCCCACAACTGAGTTTATGGCTTCTGGGGGGTGGAGGGGTGGGAGGAGAAAGAGCAGACGGAGCAAGTCCTGAAAGCACTACTAAGCTAATATTTTAACTAATTATTCAGTATGAAATCACTGCGAATCACAATGCCAAGTTTTTTAACAGCAATGCAAACCTTAATGTAGGTGCATTTCCTACAACAGCAAGGTAGCCCCACACAGAGCTGCTTTCTAGTCAAAGATGATGGATGGTACCAGTATTCATTTTCATCCAGGAAAGATGCTTGTGAAGGATGCCACCATTGAATGCTTACTTAAAGGGAAAAAAACGGTTGTCAGGAGAGGGAGGCAAAGGAGGAAAGATAAAGAAACAAATCAACAGAGCAAGGAGAATGGCCAAGGCATCAAGAGTTATGGGAGGGTGAATTTATCAGGGTTTCCCGAATGAACACATTTAGCGTTGTTTAGTCTGTTCTTTTCCTTCTCCTTGACCACCTCAGTGAGTGAATCACCACATACTTTTTTACGTGAGGAGCTGTGCTGATGGGGGCAGTCAGTTAACTAATGAGGGACGCACTTTTTTTTTTTAAGAGAGAAAGCAGTTGCTTTCCTGTTGTTGTGCACTGTAGGAAACCCGCCTGAAGGTCTGGGCCTCTCTGACTCGCTGCCCCACTTTCCTTTGGGAAGAAGGAAAAATGGGGTCTTTGAAGGAAGGGGGGAATTCTCAGGCTGCTTATAGTGAGAAGATGCCTGTTTGCTCTGAACTCAGTTAACCAAGCAAGGTAAAATTCACTCCCATGCACAGAGCCAGCAAAGGCCTGGGCACCATCTGAATACAGCTCACGTGATTCACATGCCTGCTGTGGGTCCTCTTCACAGGGGCGAATGTCACCCAGAGCAAGGGGCAGGGTGAGGGGTACAACCTATGTGGGTTGATTCGGCTCCAGTGCCCTGCACACCGGGGCATGCAGCCATCCTGTTAAACAGGCCCAGTCGACTTCCTCCAGCACAGTATTGAAGCAGCTGTAGTCGACCTCCTCCAGCGCAGCATTGAAGTGGAATTCCCCCGCCAGCTTCAGCGGGACCGTTCATCTGCTCAGACACCTGTTTTTAAGTGCTTTGGACCAGGCCACAGGGCTCATTTGTCTCTCAGTGTGAAACTGCTAACGAACAAGTGCAATCAATTCTCTCCCACAGCCAGAGGACTCCAGTTGGCCGGGGGATCCTGAAGGCCTACTTCAGCACCCTGCCTCCTTTGCCTCTTCTTGCCTGGGTGAACCTTCATGCCGGGGGCGAGGTATTTGCATTCCCTCCAGACCAGCCCGTCACCCAGAGCAATGTCTTGTCTTGGCTCGAGAAGTGCAGAGCAAGTCTTCAGCTTCCCAGCAGTAAGTGCACAGGCTCCCGTCCCATTCCCTGGCATGCCCTCATGGCCCCTACATCTGTTTATGTGAAGCTGCTCACTGCAGTAATTTGTCTGTCGTTTAAGAATGAGGTGGGGGGGAAAGGGGGAGAGTTATTCTGAGTTTGAGCTGGAGAAGTACAAGCCGTCCGGTCAGAACAGAACGCGTGAGCTGGGTGCAGAGCTGGCAGGACTTGTTCAGTGCTGAGAGCCAAGTCGCAGCCAGTCTGGACGGCTGTCAGTGCCCTGCAGTCAGCCCTGGGTGCCTGCTGCTGAGATGGTCTCGGTGATGTCTATGAGCACAAAACCTCCTTCCCCCCATGCTCCGACTAGGAAATATCACCCTGTACCTGCAGCCTTGCAGGTCCTTTACGGGCAACCATGTGCACTTGCAGTGGGAGGGAGCTTCCAGCGATTCTCACGAGGAGCCAGGCACCACGACCTACCCTGGCTCTCCATTCAGGACTGTGGTGCCCAAACTTTTGGCCTGATGGGAGCGCCTGGTCTGTTTATGGGACAGATCCCACCAGTGGGCCTGGTCCTGATCCAGCCATGTGGTGGCTGGGAAGGGCAGCCTGGATACAATCCGGCTACGTGGGAAATGGCCCAGATCAGCCCAGGGAAGGGAGGATTTGGTAGCAGGGGAGGATTGATAGTAATTGCTGCTGCTTCCTCACTGCCAAAGTTCCCGACCTGAAGGAAGCCCCATGGGCCCAGTGCCACGGCTCCGTGGTATGAATTTGGGGGGTTGAACACCTCCTGATTTAAGGAGACAAAAAGAAGTGAGGTGCGTCAGTCTCTTTGGAGAGCAGGGACTCGGCCTCCTACTCAATCTGGCCACTTGGGAGCGACAAAGATCCACGCTGCGAGTTGTGGAGGTGACCAGTACTGCACATGCTGTTAGCTGAGGCTCTGGCAGCTGCAAATGCCTAAATGACCAGGAGTTGAGACTCCCTTATCTCACAGCAAAGCCTTTGCTGTCTTCCCCACCGAGCTGTCGTGGGCATGGTGGGGATCTCCCAGCTCCTGCTCCTCTCTGAATAATGCTGTGTCTCCTTTGTGTCCCATCTCCCGTCCCACTGTGGACCCTAATGCCACCGACAGCCTTGTCTTCGGAGTGCCCCCAGCGGCCAAGTTTCCTTATCTGCTAATGGCAGAAATTACTTTCCCTATCATCTGCATTTCCTCTCAGCCCCCAGGGAGCTGGCAGATGTGCCCTGCATTTGGCATACAGGATTCCCAGCTGCAGAGGCAGTGCCACGCATCTCCTGTGTTTCCTCAGTCCCCATTTTGAAGCCCTTTTCACCCTGTAATTTCCAAGTTGACCCTCTATTGCCATTTGATGCTGTTCCTTAAGCTCCTCATTCCTCAGAGCATTCCTGAGCAAAATCCTCCATGTGCCCAGCTGTAAACAGGTGCTTGTCTCATGGATACTGGTGAGACTTAAGCATGTGCTTAAAATGTTTTGTTAATCTGGGTCCTAAACTCCAAAACCAGTTTCTTCAGGGACCAGCTCCGGGGAAAATGAATGCCAGATTTAGAAGAACCTCTTGCGATCATCGGATTCTAGGAAAGTCTGGCTCATGAGGTGACATCTAGTCCAACCCCCTCAAGGCAGGATCACCCGTACCCTAAACCATCCCAACCACATGTCTGTCCAATCTGCTCTTGTAAATTTCCAGAGATGGCGATTCCACAGCTTCTCTCGGCAGCCGGGTCCAAGGCTCGGCCACCCTCCGAGGCAGAAAATTCCTCCTAATCTCCAGCCTAAATTTCCCCTGCTGCATCTTGAGGCTCTTGGTCTTATCCCTTGTGGCCACAGAGAAAAGCCCATCTCCGTGATGACTTGAATCCAGTTTAGCTTTAGCCAAATAACACCCCCAGCAGTTCTAATCGGCAGCCTTGGAAGCAGAGAAGAAACGACCTTTCAGCAAAGCTCTGTATTGTTTGGATGCAGGAGGGAGCCAGTGGGGTAGAGAAAGGGCAGAGATGGTTTGGGAAACTTTGTGGGATGGGAAGAGGCAGAGAAAACCCCAAAATCTGGGCAGGGAGGGAAATGAGATGCTTTGGTGAAGCCTTAGGTCCTTGTCTGTGGAGCAGGTGCGATGCCCATAACAGTGATGCCCAAGGCAGGGTAATTTGCACCTTCCTAGATGAACTGAATCGAAGTAGTAAACCATAAGCTTTCCTAAGCAAAGGGTTTACTTTATCAGAAGCCACCTGCCTCTCTCTAATAATAGTTATGCCAGTAGAAATAGTAATCCGCAGCGCCTTGTGCATTTAAAACCCTTGTTCTTCAAAAAGGGAGGGTCATTTCTGCAGGAGCTCAGTGTCCTGCCATGGCGTTCTCCTGGAAGGCCAAGAAATCTCCTGGACCCCAGGAGGACTTTTAAAGGGCCAGGGCAAAGGAGTGGCATATCGATATCTACAGCAGCGTTGTCTGTGCTTGCAAGGTCCTCTTAAACCAAATGCAGTCCCCTTTTCAGGGAAACAGGTGTACCATGTAATGAATAGAAACCTGAGGGAAATTGGGCTGGGGAGAGAGGATGCAGATAGAGCCTCCCTTCCATCCCATCGTTGCTCAGGAGAGGCCCGTTAGGCCCTTGCATGGGATCCTGTTGTTGTCCTGAAGGATTGGGGCCTCGGTCCTCCCCCGTCAGCCACATTCCCAGTAACAGCCCATTGTCTCCTCCCCTCAGCCACCTTGTCTGATGCACCCTGGACGCCGCCTCTGCCCGCGTACAATTTTCTGCGCATGATAGAGTCCACACTGCCCGAGTTCACCCTGCACACCGCATATGGCCGAGGAGACCCGCCCGGGCCATGGCAGGCGGAGGCTGCGGAAGAGAAGGCACCTGTCAGGGAGGAGCAGGCCGAGGAGCCAAGAGCAGAGGCAGAGGAGGGCCAGCCACCTGGGAGAGACCTGCGTGGGACAGTCCCGAGGCTGGTGGGGAGGGAGAGGCAGGTGAAGAGACATGCTGAGCTGTGAGGGGTGGGATCGGGGAGGCGCGGTGTGAGCGTTTCCTCCCATGCCAGCCTGCCGTTGACTTCACTGGAGGGTGTCTGCAGAACCAGAGGGGACACAGCATGGTTGGGGACAGCTGCGCTCAAGGGAGTGACCTGCCGTGGGCTCCTGTGTGAAGCTGGCCTGCAGGGTGCAGGGGGTGCTGTTCAGCGCCTCGGTGACAGCCGTTCCAGTCCAGCAAGCCTGCCAGCCCTCAGCCGTGGGGATGGCCAGGGCACCAGCCCCTGGGATCCCGGGGGGCATTGCATTTGTAACCCTGCCGGGGGGGCTGGACAGACAAATGTCTATCGCCATGTCAGTGATGCTCAACCAAGGTGCCACGATCCTTTTGGGGGTTCCAGGGTGCCACACAATGTTAGCACTGTTAGGTGTACAAGCATGATTCACAGGATAAACCCAGAGATTTCAGATAGAGAGGCCTAGCTGTGCTTGTTCTCAGTCCTTTGCAACAGGAAACCTGCTCTGTTACCCTTCTGTAGTCAAAAATGAGTAAAAAAGAGCTGGCATTTTCCAAGGTGGGGCTCAAGTCTACTTAAGGTACTGTGAGTCTCTCTGGGGCTTTCTTGAGAGTCTCCAGGGCTTGCTTGAGCCTATCCAGGGGTGCCACGAGTCTAAAAAGGTTGAGAATCACTGTGCACACGGAGCTGCCCTGGTATAGCAAAATCCCTGCAGCCTTCCAGGGCAGTTGCAGTCCCACCACTTAAATGCCCTTGTATCACAACAGCTTCCTCCTGTAGGGGAAGGGAAATGAGCCAGACTAGCACGGGCACCTTTGTTTCAGCACCTCTGTGCTCTGGGTTGCATGGGCAGGACCGTGTTAGTGGAAGGATGTCAGCTGGGATGGGGCTGAGTAGGCTGGGAGGGGGGAAGCAGGCAGGTCCCTGGGGGCTGAGTGCAGACACCTGCCCCCAACCATGCTCTCTCCTCTCCATCTGTAGTGACTAGCACAGCAGGTACTGCCTGAGCAGGAGAGAGCTGCAGGGTTGGAAGGACATGCTTCAAAGGGCGATCCCAGCTACAGAGCCCAATCCAAGCAGCTGCCTGGGGCTTGATGCTGAGCGGGGTTTGCTCTGGTTTCAAGCGTGGGTGGAGTGGCCAAGGGTTGGGCCCTGGAGAGCACAAGGAATCGGGACTGAAAGGCCCGGGGAGACACACTTCAAGCTGGGACTCAGCTCCACAGCCTGGAAGCCTTGTGAGCCCTGGCTGGACGCCTGGCTTAGAGCCCAGCAGCCCTGGGAGGTGATCCAGCCTGCTGGCCCTCTCCCCCTGCCCAGGAGAAGCTCACGTTCTCTAGCTGGTTTCACTGCTGCTGAGCTTGAACCTGCCAAGAGCGTCCCTGCCTGGCTCTCCTCTGTGGGCCTTTCTGAAGGCTTTCTGCACCAGCCCAGCTCCCACCAGTGTAGCCCCACGTGGTGGATGCAGTCTCCCTGGACCATGTGCACCTGCATCACGACCACTTCCTGTAGGGAAAGGTGATAAGTGCAGCCAGGAGGCACCTTCCAGTGTCTCCACCCTAGGGGTAGGAAGGTGTTGGCAGAAAGGTGGCAAGCCTGCAAAAAATGTGCCTTAATCCAGGAAACCGTGAAAGCTTCAGGGGCCTTTCCTGTCAGGATCAGGCCGGGCAGGCTGCATGAGGCGGGGGGTGGGGCCTCTTTGCATGCAGCATCAGGAATGGTTTTGCTTTGGTGCTATTCCCCCAAGCTTTGCTGGAGCACAGAGCACAAAAATGATCTTTATGCTGCTGTCTAATTTAAGAGCTTTATCTGGTTTGGTAATGCCAGCAGCAAACGTGGAGCTGGGACAGTACAGACATCCCAGGGAAATGCGTGTCGTGTTATAAGAGAGCTGCTTCTCCTGCAGGGTTATAACTGGGGTGTTCTCAGGGCTCCTGGTCCCTTGGGGAAAGTCAGGGCTTCTGGTCCCTCTGGGTTATGCTGCTGCATAGGATCATAGAAAATGAGGGTTGGAAGGGACCACAGGACCTAGTGCAACCCCCTGCTCCAAGCAGGACCAGCCCCAAATAGCTGGGCCTTAAAAACCTCCAAGGATGAAGGGTCCACCATCTCTCCAGGTAACCTGTTCCAGTGCTTCACCATGTGCCGTGCTCTCAAAGCAGGCCTGGGGACAGGCAACAGAAGGGCAGGAGCAATGCCAGAAACTGCCAATCAGCACTGATTCATCTGGACTGAAAAGAGGGCAGGGTCAGGCAGTACCTTAGAGACTAACTGGCTCACAGAGGTGTGAGCTTCCAGAGGTGACAGCCTCCTTTGTCAGATAGTTTCACAGGTGTTTATTTTGAGTGAAAAGCAAGCGCTGCCTTTATCAGAGGGGGGGATACCGAAATGTCAGGGGTGGCCATTAGAGACAGACTGACTCTTGCCGTGCACGCTGTCCTGTGTGATGTACTTGTTTGCAAAGGGAGCAGCACAAAACCCAGGGCCTTTGCATGCCTGTGGGCAGCTCTCGCCCTCTTCCTGTTTTTAACTTGCCTGAAGTGCAGTGAAGTATCACCAGCGGTGCCATCTGTGCCATCAGCTTCCTTCTTCCCCAGGCACTTGGCACTCGAGTATGATTTCTTTTGCTTCAGCCACAGATCTCTATCTGCCAGGATGCCAGGAAGGAGGTGCATGCAGAGGGTGTGATTCGCTGCCTCGGGCTTGCCTGTCTGTGGCTTCCTACTGCCTGTGGTTTGTGACTGCCCATGGTTTTCAGGCACTGGGCAGAAGCTGGAAATCATGTGTTTGAGAGAGGGAGAGAATTTGACTCAAGACGAGAGCCAGGAGATGGGTGTGATATGCAGAAGGCATCAGAGGATCTTTTAAAATATCAGCACCTTGGCACGGCTGAAGTGCATGGCAGAAACGCCATGTTTGAGCCCAGGTTAGAAGCCAGACAAGCCCCAACTGGCTGCATGGATGGGGGGTTTCTATTCCCCACGTCCCTGGGGTAGGCAGGTGAGACAGAGGGGTAGGTGACCATCCAAGGAGGTGCTAAAAAAGGGCAGAGCCACATCTGAGAGCCTAAGGCAGAGCTGAGAGGTTTCATGTCCCTCATCCTGCCCCCCACCTCAATGTTTAGTTGGAGCCAGAAGCTGCAGGGGCACCTGGGGTGAGTGTGGC